TAACATGTCATTTGCTATTTGAATGCCTTGTATTTTGACCACCACCAACAACCCCCCCCATTCCCTCAATACATTTGATATGTCTCTTTTTGAATAAGAATCCTTCATAAAAAGAGCCTCTCCCAGTCATCACCACCACATTCACTGCAATAATAAGTGGGACTATATTGCTGTCTATGCTCAACAAAGAAATTTAAAAATGATGTTAGATTTTACTTTACGTGGATTTGACCAACTTAGCAGATGACAGCTGCAACAAGCACAATCCGCCATTGTACCTGTCCATGATTTTGGTGTATTCTCAGACACAAATGTGCTACCCCATTGTGCTGAGAACTATTGTGCTCTCTTCCCAGACTGAAAAATGCTTGAAATGCTTGATTCATTTTATTTGTGTCTCTGTGTGTGTCTCCATGTGTGTGTGTGTGTGTGCACATGCACGTGTGTGTGCATGTGATGGTGTTTACTCATGGTAGTGTGTGTGCCTATACTAGTGTATCTTGACAAATGTTTCCTTAGAAATGCAAGTAAAGACTCTGACATGTATTTGAGGGACCACTGAAACCTCACAATGGCTCTATTGTGTGTGATTCACAAGGCTGGGCCATTTTACAGAGCTACCGAACAATTACATCTTTAAGTCTCAGGGCAGTTAGCTGTATATAGGGATACTGGAGAAATACCTTTGTCTGTGAGTGTCTGTACACGCTAAGAAAAAAAGGGTTCTAAAATTGTTTTCTCCATTGGTTCCAGGTAGATCCCTTTTGGGTTCCATGAAGAACCCTCTGTGGAAAGGGTTCTACATGGAACCAAGAACTGTTCTACCTGGAACCAAAAAGTGTTCTTCAAAGGGTTTTCCTATGGCCGCCAAAGAGCCCTTTAAGGTTCTAGATAGCAAATAGTCCGGATAGCAATGATTAGCTGTTCTGGAGTCTTATGGCTTGGGGGTAGAAGCTGTTGAGAAGCCTTTTGGACCTAGACTTGGCGCTCCGGTACCGCTTGCCAGAGGTCATATCATTCTAATTGGAATGTGTATGCCTCTTACATAATGAAATATAACAACCAATACCCCAGGAACAGAGTGCTGTGTGGTTTCAGGGCTACTGTTATGAGGATGCAACATGTTTGACAATATGGTTTTAATATAGAAATGTCTTCACATGGCAGGGATAATATCCATTTAACAAGATTTAGTAAGCCATGGGGGTCAATTTGGGCTTGTTGGGATGTTGTCTTTATTCAAAGGGGATTAGTCTTCATCTAATGGTTTTAATCAGCTGTACAGCACTACAGCACAACTGATAAGAGTTCGGTTACCTATCGCTAAAGAGCAGCCAAGTTCAAAAGATGCACTAGCAGATGTCCATATCAGTGTTATGCAAACCTGCGCAGAGCAATTCCTTCTTTGCCTAAGCGGCCTATAAGTAATTCATTGTGTTCAGTGAGACGGAGCATCTGTTCATCCATACCCTTGACCCACCAAGAAGCCCTGAACACCTGACACAAGGTGTCTCTTTTCCAGGTAACTGCACTCATCAGATAATGACCTCTACCCGGGTTAATACTTACAAAAAATGGATAATTTGCCTGGCAAAGCAGGGTTTCTAAGGGCCTACTGCTAGACCTTTAGACAGGGGGACTTTTAAAGAAAAGGGAAAGCGTGCAAACAAACAGGATAGTCACATCAAACTCTAGCTGGGGTCAGAGTGGGAGTGTGCAATAGATGGACAAGTTCCAGTTGCACTAATGCATCTTCTAGCCATAACTTGGCAGATAAGTAGTAACAGAAAAGTGCCCACCACTCTTCTCTCAGCCGTATTCAGAAAGGGCAGAAATTGCCACCCTCTACATCGACTGAGAAGTTGCGGCACAGACATGCGCAACGGTTAGTGAGGGACTGGTAAGAGGGTAGTTCAGCCAGAGCCAGGCACTAGTGCTTAACCTCTCACTGCCTCCTTTTAAGGCTTTTTCAAAAATGGCTAAATCATTTATTTCCCCAACTTCTCATCCATCCCCACTGACCTGAACTCCAAGGCTTGCTAGAAAAAGGTGCTCCTAGAAAAGTATTGTCATTGTTCTGTTGTTTTCTTCACTGCACACAGTCCTTATGTGCTTCTTAAAAGCTTAACAATAGGAAGATGTAAAAGGGAAAATCAATGATAGAAATATTACTATAAAGAAAAACAGGAAAGTCTTCTAACTGGATATAATAGCACTCTGAAGAGTTTCATGTTTGAGATTAAAAACGGAATGCTGATTGGCTGAAAGTCGTGGTATATCAGACCATATACCACGGGTATGACAAAACATTTATTTTTACTCTTCTAATTACATTGGTAACCAGTTTATAACAGCAATAGGGCACCTCGGGTTTGTGGTATATTGGCCATATACCACACCCCCTCAGGCCTTATTGCTTAATTATAGCATGAATCATATGAGCACACACATGATACTACTCACAAACACACATATAAATGGGCCAACAAGTAAGGCATGACTACATCCTAGATGGCTGTGGTCCTTTTATTCCTCTTTACTTTGAATACATTATTAATTTAGCATTGAGAGATTTCGGTGCTAAACCAGCCTTTAAAATCATGCCATACTTGAAGAAAATTGAAAATGTGGAATGTTGAGCGGTAGGGTTCCCCATTATACGAGAACAGGGATGGAGCTTGAGGGGCTAAACACTATGTTTAGCCAGGAAATGGGGTTCTGAAAAACATTCAGAAATAGAAATATGTCCTGTGATGCAGTTTCATTCAAGAATCAATCAAACATAAAATGTTAAATCGAAGCTGCAGGTTCTGAAAGTACTTTTGTAAGTAGGTTATTGTAAGGAAATGAAATTCAGGAATATTAAAATGTCATGGACATGTGACCACATACAAATTACATTTGGAATTCCATTTAACTATAAGTATTTTATAACTGTATTCCAAATAATCAAATACTGTAACTACTGTAAATAGATAATAGAATGTAACAATTAATACTATCAACTATCCTGACACCAAACTGTTCCATAACCAAATTCTGCAGGCTTTCCATCCCATTCCAAATGATTAATGTTCTTCCAGTAGTGACAGCCATCCTGCAGTTTGGAACATTCTCTTTTACTTCATTTCTTTGAATGTTAAACTATTGATAGTTGATGCATTGCAATGAACATATGAGGACGCCGTAACTTCTCTGAAAAGCAGAAATTCACAAAGACTTGAAAAGTTCAGGTGGGTAGAGTTAAGCAGAAAGCATTCTATTATGCAGGTGCATTTAGTGTGCCTTGTAAAGTTAAAAGCTTTTCCAAAATGTCAAATAAAACCCTTTAGTGACATAGACATACAAAAACTGTAAAACAATGCATTTCTGCCTGTTCTTTGTACTAAGAGCAACCTTTTCAAACTGCTATTTCAGCTTCAAGAGAAATGTCACAAATATGTTATTTAGAGGGAATAATTGACACAAGAAATGTACAATTATTAACTATCTATCCATGTAATTTTCCTTCAAAAGTACTAGCCTACTATATGCTTCTACAGGTCTACATTTATTTTATATATGATTATTTTCCATTAGCTGGTAAACATAAGACTCTGAAATGGTCCCTTGAGGTCTCTCGTCCTTATCCCAGTCCGCTCACAGAATTACAGCCTCCATGTGTCTGTGAAGTGTATGGATCTACAGATGTAGGATCTTAATTTGATCACTCTTTTGTTGATAGGAATTTTCATGCACAGCAGGAAATGCAAACTTGTTGTGTATTTTACTTTTAAAAAGGCTTATAAAGTTTGTAATTTCCACTTTGAAATTTCAGACTTGATTTGCCCTAACGAAAAACGTATCAAACCCTACAAAAATGGCCATTAATTATAATGCTCATTATAATTCACATTTCCTTTTGTTGCAGGGTTATTTTCCTGCTGTAGCAAACTGGCTCAAATTAAGATCATCTGTATGCTCTATCCCTCTATTCTTCCAGAGTAGCCCAAGAGCGTTTGAATACCCCTTCTGCCATGTCCTTTTCTCAATCCAAAGCATACTTTGCAAACAGCTGCTAAAAGCTGAGGTGAAAGGGGTATGGGATATTAGAAATGAATGATAAACAAAAACTCAAAAGAAAAAGTGTGGGAGAGGATACTCTCCCTGAAGAAGTTATTGATGCGCTACACACATCCCCTCTGAGTAGTAGAGCACCAGCTATTATTATTGGCTATAAAAAAAAAACACACATAAGGCCTTCATTGCATTACACTGTAAAAATGGCAGTACTTCGAAAAGTGACTGTTCCATTTTTCTTGCCACTGTTTTTAGCACTACCTTTCCGTGTTCACTGCACGCACTTACTGGAAATTAACGAGTTGTAATCTACGAGACACATGGGTTAGGGATAATTGCACATAGGGCCATTATCATGCTCTCAAGGCCAAGCATGAAGGCTTTCTTCTGTTGTTCTTACTTCTGCTTTTTCTGTGCAATATTGGAGTCTTAAGAACAAGATGCATTTTTGGGCTGTATAGACAATTTAATAATTAAGCCCATTTTCCCTAAATACACTACTTTATAATGGTTTCAGTTTATTTAACCTACTAGTAGGGACAGGAGTGTACCAAGACCAAGAAAAACAATGATCAGGTCATGGATCAGGTCACATGGCAAGGAAAACTCCTGAACAGAATTAATCAGGAATATGTGAGTGAGGTTGTTTCATTAAATAGCTACAGGCTTACTACCAGTTCGTATTTTTAATACAGACACTCCTGACCTGCAAACCAATATTTAATTTCAAAATTTGTTAAAATTAGGTTAGGGTTAGGGTCAGGGTTAAGGTTAACGTACGGTTTGGATTTTGATTAGTCGTTGTGCAGGTCAGCAACATCCTTAGAGTCCCCCCTTTGGTCAAGTTTGGCGTCTACATGATGCGATACTCTTTTCAACCTGAGTTTTCGTTTGGCGCTGTGAGGATTGATGAACAGTTCCACAGTAGAGGATGCATCTCTTGCTGCTTACGGCTCTCTGATCTCTCTTAGCTTGTTTTCTAGCTAGCGATCTAATGCTAACAACATGAAACAGTGTTGAGAAAACACGACATGTTCAGAAGAAATGTTCCAAGCTTGCCACACAATCGTATTTTATTGCCTGCCCCAAGACTGTAAGCTAACAAACGTTATTCCCGCATTTGTTCATCTGATTGTTTTTGTGACTGCAGTGCACTTGTAGCTAGCTAGCATAACGTTACTGACTTGACAATTCACAGCAAGCAACAGGTGAGTAACGTTATTGTTGCTAGATAGTGAATTATGCTGGCTTTGTAACTGTCTATGATTTAGCTAGTTACGTTTCGGGAAGCTTGTGCCGTGGCATAAAATATGGGCAACAAGCGAGCTAGTTCTGACTAGTTAACGTTAGTTTGTATGTAACGTTACTGTACGGAGAAAAGGGCCCAGTTTTTAAAAAGTTGCTGTATCTATCTTGGTTTCGCCTATCGGATAGGATTAAATGCATAGAAATAGAACGCGATTACCCATTCAAATCAACTATTCGTCAGTTAAATTCATAACTATGCGTTTTAATCGAAAGCGAGATGTTTTAGGCTTGGTTATAGTAAAACACGCCAATTCTGGTCATTATTTTGACAGTTCGTTTTGGAAAAGTTACATATTTTAGTAGTACATCTAGCTCTTTTTACCCCTAGCTGTTCAACTCTACCATTGAAATCGTGATGTAGAGACACGAAAAGGTGCCTACGTCATCTCAAGGGAGGGGTTCGGTATGAAATACACACCTTCTACTGCCGCGTTCAAAACTACTGAGAACTCGGGGAAAAAAACGAACTCCGAATGGGAAAAATCGTTGTGAACCGTCATCCAACTCGGAATTCCAACTCGACTTTCCGACCTGAAGATCACTGACTTCATGTTTTGACCTCGTATTTTTCCGAGTTCCCAGTTGTTTTGAACGCGGCATACATGTGCTGGATGGTACCAGCTCAAGGCTTACTATAAAATCAGGCGACGACGCGCCTTATTTGGCAATGGTCTTGGTAGGTGGAGTGTGCCAATATAGCACGCTAGATGGCTAATTAGCACAGGCGGTTACCTCTGTCTTCCGAAAAAAACAAAAAACATTAATAATTAAATAACCTCTGTCTTCCGTAAACAAACGCTGTATTAAAGGTTTGTAGTAATTTAACCTTTTGTTTTTTGAAAATTATTTCTCGCAAATATGAAAGATACGTTCCTTATGTTTCCTAAACCGTACCGCATTTGTTAACATTTAGCTCAAGCAAAAGTCCCCCAGGAAGAAGATGCCTTCATCAGTAGGCCTAAAAGTTTTCTGAACCAAAATATAAATGCAACAATTTCAAGATTTTACTGCGTTACAATTCATATAAGAAAATCAGTCAATTTAAATAAATTCATTAGGCCCTAATCTATGGATTTCACATGATTGGGCAGGGGCACATTCTGATTGGCTGGGCTTGTCTCCCCAGTGGGTGGGCCTATGCCCTCCCAGGCCCATGCCCTCCCAGGCCCACCCACTGGGGAGACAAGTCCAGCCAATCAGAATTAGTTTTTCCCCCACAAAAGGGCTTTATTACAGACAGAAATACTTCTCAGTTTCATCAGTTGTCTGGGTGGCTGGTCTCAGATGATCCCTTAGGTAAAGAAGCCGGATGTGGAGGTCCTGGGCTGGCGTTGTTATATGTGGTCTGCAGTTTTTAGTCCGGTTGGACGTACTGACAAATTCTCTAAAATGATGTTGGAGGTGGCTTATGGTACAGAAATGAACATTCAATTCTCTGGCAACCGTTCTGGTGGACATTCCTGCAGTCAGCATGCGATTTGCACGCTCCCTCAAAACCTGAGGCATTGTGTGGCATTGTGTTGTGTGACAAAACTGCACATTTTAGAGTGGGCTTTTATTGTCCCCAGCACAAGGTGCACCTGTGTAATGATCATGTTGTTTAATCAGCATCTTGATATGCCAGACCTGTCAGGTGGATGGATTATCTTGGCAAAGCAGAAATGCTCACTAACAGGGATGTAAACACATTTAGGCAGAACATTTGAGAGAAATTTCTGGGATCTTTTATTCCAGCTCATGAAACATGGGACCAACACTTTACATGTTGCGTTTATAATTTTGTTAGAGAATGAAGAAAGTATCGCCAAGAACAGGAAAAACCTATGTCGGTGGTTTGTATGGGGCTTTCCTGTAACGGCCAGTAATGGACACCAAAATCTGGTTATATCACATTATCTGCCATACAATCTGTAGCTAGTGAAAAACATTACACCTGGGGTGCGTTCAGTATGACAGAATGGTGTTCAAAGTTTAATTCAACAGAAACAATACTATACTGAACGACCAGGAGTTTAGCAATTTCAAATGGCCACACCTCGCCACACCCACCAAATGGGAGCAAATGTACCTCAAAGGCCGTTGAAGAACGGTGCGCACCATTTTGGGGAAATGTGTCATTCAGTACTATAATAATAAATAATAATATGCCATTTAGCAGATGCTTTTATCCAAAGCGACTTACAGTCATGCGTGCATAAATTTTTACGTATGGGTGGTCCCGGGGATCGAACCCACTACGCTGGCGTTACAAGCGCCATGCTCTACCAATTGAGCTACAAAGGACCACAAACTGTCACACAACGTAGCGTTAAATCGAACTGAGGGCAGCCCAGGGGTGTATTCATTAGTATTAGGGTTAGTGTATTCATTAGTCGGACACTTGCAAAACGTTTTGCACCACAACAAAACTATTTGCAATGGAAACCTATTCTATTGGACAAATTGGGGTAGGTTCTTCCATTTTTCGTTTCCTTTTCTTCTGTTTGCTTCCAATGGTTCCGATTGGATCCTAGTGAATACACCCCTGATGTAACTAATTTGAGTTAGAAATTACCTGTATGATATTACAATGCTGATAAGCTGTTGCACTTTCAAATTAATTTTATATTGATTTAATCGTTTTGTATTACCTCTTTTACTATTTGCCATACATAGAGATTTGTGATGTAGCTACCAGTTGGTGGGAGTTGGCAACAATCAAGCTATGGAAGATGATTCCCCGACTCTGAAACCCAGGCGCATCCAGAACCAGAATGTGGTCCATCGACTGGAGCGGCGACGGATCTTCTCTGGCCGGGCTGCAGCCCACTGGTACCGTGTGCGCTGCTTCCACCAGAACCTTTTCCCCAACTTCACTGTGGTAAATGTAGAGAAGCCTCCCTGCTTCCTCCGCAAGTTCTCCCCAGATGGACGCTGCTTCATAGCCTTCTCCTCTGACCAGACCTCCCTGGAGATCTATGAGTACCAGGGCTGTCAGGCAGCTGAGGATCTGCTGCTTGGGCAGGATGGGGAAACCCTGGCCAACGGCAATGACCAGCGCTCCCTCAACATCCGTGGCCGCCTCTTTGAGCGCTTCTTTTCCCTCCTGCACGTCACTAATGTGGCCTCCAATGGAGAGCACCTGAACCGAGAGTGCAGCCTGTTTACTGATGACTGTCGCTATGTGATCGTGGGCTCAGCAGTCTACGTGCCTGAGGAGCCCTCTCCACACTTCTTTGAGGTGTACCGCAACAATGAGTCTGTGACTCCCAACCCCCGCTCTCCTCTGGAGGACTACTCACTGCACATCATTGACCTGCACACTGGGCGGCTTTGTGACACCAGGTCCTTCAAGTGTGACAAGATCATCCTCTCGCACAACCAGGGACTTTACCTCTACCGAAACATACTGGCTGTTCTTTCTGTTCAGCAGCAGACAATCCATGTCTTTCAGGTGTATATCTCAGCCTGCCACATCATCTGTACCCTATGCTTACCTGGTAGTGAGATTATAACATTAAACCATCCTGATTGAATGTTTTTATGAAATTAAATGAATGTTTTTATAGTGCTAATGTCATCCTGTAGGTGACATCAGAGGGGTTGTTTCTGGACGTGCGGACCATCGGTCGGTTCTGCTACGAGGACGACCTCCTGACTCTGTCTGCGGTGTATACTGAGGCCCAGGCTGAGGGCCAGCCAGGCTTCTCCCGCCTCTACAAGGAGAAGACCATCAACTCCCTGAAGCACAGACTACTAGTCTACCTGTGGAGACGGGCTGAGCAGGACGGCAGCGCCACCGCCAAGCGACGCTTCTTCCAGTTCTTTGACCAGCTGAGACAGCTGAGGATGTGGAAGATGCAGCTGCTGGATGAGCACCACCTCTTCATTAAATACACCAGCGAGGATGTGGTCACCCTGCGAGTCACTGACCCCTCCCAGGTACACCTAATTAAGGATCTCTAGTGGTAATTTGCAACCAAATTATTTTAGGCAGGGGAGAACAGAGCTATGCGGGGGGGGGCCTGTCCCACCTGTATAATGGTAGGTGAAACGGTGGAAAGCACTATCTGGAAATCCACTGTCTGCGATTGTTTGAATTAGTTATTCTATATCCTACATTAGGGGACTGTGGATTAGTAACAAAATCAAATCAAATTGTATTTGTCACATGCGCCGAATACAACTGGTGTAGACTTAACTGTGAAATGCTTGCTTACAACCTTCCCAACGATTAAGAGTTTTTAAAAAATGGTAACACGAAGAATAAAATAAAAACACAAGAATGGAGCTATATAAATCAAATCAAATTTTATTTGTCACATACACGTGTTTAGCAGATGTTATTGCTGGTGTTGGGAAGTGCACCCTCTGCTGTTTCCTGAAGTCCACGATCATCTCCTTTGTTTTGTTGATGTTGAGTGAGAGGTTATTTTCCTGGCACCACACTCCCAGAGCCCTCACCTCCTCCCTGTAAGCAGTCTCTTCATTGTTGGGAATCAAGCCTACTACTGTTGTGTCGTCTGCAAACTTGATGATTGAGTTGGAGGCGTGCTTGGCAACACAGTCATGGGTGAACAGGGAGTACAGGAGTGGGCTGAGCATGCACCCTTGTGGGGCCCCAGTGTTGAGGATCAGCGAAGTGGAGGTGTTGTTTCCTACCTTCACCACCTGGGGGCGGCCCGTCAGGAAGTACAGGACCCAGTTGCACAGGGCGGGGTTCAGACCCAGGGCCTCAAGCTTAATGATGAGCTTGGAGGGTACTATGGTGTTGAATGCTGAGCTATACTCAATGAGCAGCATTCTTACATAGGTATTCTTGTCCAGATGGGATAGGGCAGAGTGATGGCGATTGCATCGTCTGTGGATCTATTGGGGCGGTAAGCAAATTGAAGTGGGTCTAGGGTGGCAGGTAAGGTAGAGGTGATATGATCCTTGACTAGTCTCTCAAAGCACTTCATTATGACAGAGGTGAGTGCTACAGGGCGATAGTCGTTTAGTTCAGGTACCTTTGCTTTCTTGGGTACAGGAACAATGGTGGCCATCTTGAATCATATGGGGACAGCAGACTGGGATAGGGAGAGATTGAATATATCCATGAACACACCAGCCAGCTGGTCTGTGCATGCTCTGAGGACGCGGCTAGGGTGCCGTCTGGGCGGCAGCCTTGCGAGGGTTAACACGTTTAAATGTTTTACTCATGTCTGCCACGGAGATGGAGAGCCCACAGTCCTTGGTAGACGGCCGTGTCGGTGGCACTGTGTTATCCTCAAAGCGGGCGAAGAAGGTGTTTAGCTTGTCCGGAAGCAAGATGTTGGTCTTGGCGACGTGGCTGGTTTTCCTTTTGTAGTCCGTGATTGTCTGTAGACCCTGCCACATACGTCTCGTGTCTGAGCCGTTGAATTGCGACTCCACTTTGTCTCTATACTGACGTTTTGCTTGTTTGATTGCCTTGCGGAGTGAATAACTACACTGTTTGTATTCGGCCATATTCCCAGTCACCTTGCCATGGTTAAATGCGGTGGTTGGCGCTTTCAGTTTCGCGCGAATGCTGCCATCTATCCACGGTTTCTGGTTAGGGTAGGTTTTAATAGTCACAGTGGGTACGACATCTCCTATACACTTCCTGATATACTCAATTACCGTATCGGTGTATTCGTCTAAATTATTTTCGCAAGCTACCCGGAACATATCCCAGTCCGCGTGATCAAAACAATCCTGAAGCGTGGATTCCGATTGGTCAGACCAGCGTTGAATAGTCCTTAGCACGGGTACTTCTTGTTTTTTTGGGTTTCTGCATATAGGAAGGGAGAAGCAAAATGCAGTCGTGGTCAGATTTGCCGAAAGAAGGGCGGGGGAGGGCCTTGTAAGCATCGCGGAAGTTTGAATAACAGTGGTCCAGTGTTTTAGCAGCGCGAGTACTACAGTCGATCTGTTGATAGAACTTTGGCAGCCTAGTCCTCAAATTTGCATTGTTAAAATCCCCAGCTACAATAAATGCAGCCTCAGGATATGTGGTTTCTAGTTTGCATAAGGTCCAGTGAAGTTCTTTGAGGGCCGTTGTGGTATCGGCCATGGCTATAACGGAGGAAAATTCTCTTGGGAGATAATACGGTCTGCATTTGATTGTGAGGTATTCTAGGTCGGGTGAACAAAAGGACTTAAGTTCCTGTATGCTACTACAATTACACCATAAGTTGTTAATCATGAAACATACACCTCCGCCCTTCTGCTTCCCGGAGAGATATTTATTCCTATCTGCGCGATGAACTGAGAATCCCTCTGGCTGGACCGATTCCGACAGAGCCATGTTTCCGTGAAACAAAGTATGTTACAAGCCCTGATGTCTCTCTGGAAATAAATCCTTGCTCTGAGCTCATCAACTTTGTTATCCAAAGACTGAACATTAGCGAGTAATATACTCTGAAGCGGTGGGTGGTGTGTGCGCCTCCTAAGTCGAACCAGCAGGCTGCCTCGAGTGCCTCTCCTCCACCGGCGACGTTTTGGGTCGGCCTCTGGAATCAATTCAATTGCTCTGGGGAGCGCAAACAAAGGATCTGCTTCAGGGAAGTCGTATTCCTGGTCGTAATGCTGGTAGTTCTAGTGAGTTACCGCCGCACTGATATCCAGTAGTTCTTCCTGGCTGTATGTAATGACACAAAATATTTCCTGAGCTAATAATGTAAAAAATAATACATAAAAAAACAAAATAACGTAAAGTTTCCTAAGAGCTAGTCGCGAGCCAGTCGCGAGGCCGCCATCTTCTGTTTATATACAGGAAGTACCAGTACCGGATCAATGTGCAGTACGAGGTACAACGTATTTGAGGTAGATATGTACATGAAGGCAGGGTAAAGTGACTAGGCATCAGGATAGATAATAATAAGAGTAAAATAAAGAACAGCGTAGCAGCAGCAAAATATGAGTGTAAAAGTGTGTGTGTAATGTGTATGTGTGTTGTCGGTATGCATTTGTGTTATGTGTGTGTATGTGCGTATGTAGGGAATGTGTGTGGGAGTGTCAATGTAGTGTGTGAGTGAGTGTGTGTGTATGATGTGTGTGTGTGTGTGTATATATATATATATATATATATATATATATATATATATATATATATATATATATATATATATATATATATATATGTCTAGTGAGTGTGCGTAGGGTCAGTGCAGATAGTTTGGGGACCATTAATTGACGATTTAGCAGTCTTATGTTTTGGGGGTAGAAACTGTCTCGGAGCCTGTTGGTCCGAGAGCCGATGCTCCAGTACCGTTTGCCGGACGGCAGCAGAGTGAACAGTCTATGGCTTGGGTGGCTGGAGTCTTTGGCAATTTTTGATATAGAGGTTCTGGATGGCAGGGAGCTTGGCCCCAGTGATGTACTGGGCTGTCCGCACCATCCTCTGTAGCGCTTTGCGGTTAAGGGTGGTACATTTGCCATACCAAGCGGTGATGCAGCCAGTTAAGATGCTCTCAATGGTGCAGTTGTAGAACTTTTTGAGGATCCGAGGGCCCATGACCAATCTTTTCAGCCTCCTTAGGGGGAAGAGGCGCTGCCGTGCCCTCTTCACGACAGTGTGGGTGTGTGTGGACCATGTTAAGTCCTTAGTGATGTGGACGCCAAGGAACTTGATGCTAATGTTCCATCTAAGCTACGCGCGTGCGCGCAGTAGCCCTGAGACTGCCGCGCAGTTCCCCTGGGACTGCCGCACAGAAGAAATACTGTATCATCCCACGGAGAGAAGAATGAGATTGAACTTCACACAACTTTCTAGAATTTTCCCTCTTAGGTAACACTATCAGCGGTTCCCTTTACTGTGGCAATTGTGATCGAATCGACGCAATATTAGTCACTTTCAATGCAACATACTGAAACAAAACAAACTATGCAAGAGATTTTGTTGTAGGCAGAACACATCGTAGTAGGATTCTATTGCATTGACACGCACTACTCTACACAGACCGGTGCGGCATAACCAATCAGAGCTGCAGTAGGTCTATATGCAAATAGACCATTGCCATATATGGATCTGTGCCATTTACTTTGATCTGGACTCTCTTTACGGCTGTGGTCGTGAGAAGATATGCTTGTTTTGAGATCAAAGCGAGAGCTGCATGTAGCCATATGTGCACATTTTGTTCATGTCCTCTGCTAGTTAGTGAGTTATTAGCCCAGTTATAGATCATTTGTAGTCAGCAATAGGTGAGTGATTGCTTCCTACAAGAGCACAAAACGTGTACATTTCTAGACATCTTGGAAAAGTGAGTCAGGTAAAGAGCTTTTTTTCCGTGTTAAAGGGGCAGTGTTGTATTTTGAGACGGGCTTGAATAAGCTAAGTAGCCAATAGGCAGAGGGTAGCATAATTTGTCTGATTCTCTGTAATAATGGTATGCGAATAATAATGAATTTTATTTTGTAAAGTGGTTTCTTGCATCAAACAACACAACACCATTTTCAGTCACCTCCTTGTCTGAAGGACAAGTGGATACATTTGACATTTTAGTCATTTAGCAGACGCTCTTATCCAGAGCGACTTACAGTTAGTGAGTGCATACATTTTTCATACTGGCCCCCCGTGGGAATTGAACCCACAACCCTGGCGTTGCAAGCGCCATACTCTACCAACTGAGCTACAGGAGGCCTACAGGTTAATGTAAAGCCCTGCATGTTTTTTTCAAAAGTCTCATGGAATGGAGTCCTACTCAATGATAGAACAGGTATTTCCATGTTAAAATGTTTTGGGATGCATTTTCTCTATTGTTTTTGATGGTAGACCACTCTGGTAGGCCTACATTATGATCAAATAGCCACAGTACCCTACTTGGCCACTTATAAAACTGTAACTTAAAGTGGGTACAGCCTCAGTATTCACAGTAAACGTGAATCTTCAAAATGCTCAAGTTTTGCAGACATGAAATTTGATCAGGGCCGAAAAAATGGAGGGAACATTGCTTGACACTCTTGACCCGCTCCACAACAGCCCCGTCAATGTGGAAGGGGGATACTTTCTCCTATAGTCCACGATCAGCTACTTGGTCTTACTCACGTTGAGGGAGAGGTTGTTGTCCTGGCATTACACTGCTAAGTCTCTGACCTCCTCCCTGTAGGCTGACTCCTCGCCTTCGGTGACCAGTCCTACCACAGTCATGTCGTCAGCAAACTTGATGACTAAGCACACACCCCTGACGCGGCCCCGTGTTGACGTGGCAGAGGTGTTGTTGCCTACCCTCACCACCTGGGGCCGGCCCGTCGAAGTCCAGGGCGCCTCATTTATCAATCATGCGTAGGCACAAATCTGTGCGGAAACTATTTGTGGGATCATTTCCACGCAAAGTGTGAGATTTTTCAATATGAACGTTGGCTTGAGTGTGTGTAAATTTACGCACAGTACCAAGTTGTGGAATAAGGGAACTGCTTATCAAGTGTAGAGTGGGGAAAATATACAGTACCAGTCAAAAGTTTGGACACACCTACTCATTCCAGGGTTTTTCTTAATTTTTACTATTTTCCACATTGTAGAATAATAGTGAAGACATCAAAACTATGAAACCAAAAAAGTGTTAAACAAATCAAAATATATTTTATATTTGAGATTCTTCAAAGTAGCCACCCTTTGCCTTGATGACAGCATTGCACACTCTTGGCATTCTCTCAACCAGCTTCATGAGGTAGTCACCTGGAATGCATTTCAATTAAAAGGTGTGCCTTGTTCATTTGTGGAATTTCTTTCCTTAATGCATTTGAGCCAATCAGTTGTGTTGTGACAAGGTAGGGTTGGTATACAGAAGATAGCCCTATTTGGTAAAAGACCAAGTCCATATTATGGCAAGAACAGCTCAAATAAGCAAAGAGAAATGACAGTCCATCATTACTTTAAGACATGAATGTCAGTCAATCCGTAAAATTTCAAGAACTTTGTTAGTGAGTGTCTGGAGTCTGGAGACCAAATTGGAGATTTTTGGTTCAAACCGCTGTGTCTTTGTGAGACGTGGTGTGGGTGAACGGATGATCTCTGCATCTGTAGTTCCCACCATAAAGCATGGAGGAGGTGTTATGGTGTAGGGGTGATTTGCTGGTGACACTGTCTGTGATTTATTTAGAATTCAAGGCACACTTAACCATCATGGCTAGCACAGCATTCTGCAGCGATACGCCATCCCATCTGGTTTGGGCTTAGGGGGACTATCATTTGTTTTTCAACAGGACAATGACCTAACACACCTCCAGGCTGTGTAAGGGCTATTTTACCAAGAAGGAGAGTGATGGAGTGCTGCATCAGATGACCTGGCCTCCAAAATCCCCCGACCTCAACTCAATTGAGATGGTTTGGTATGAGTCGGACTGCAGAGTGAAGGAAAAGCAGCCAACAAGTGCTCAGCATATGTGGGAACTCCTTCAAGACTGTTGGAAAAGCATTCCAGGTGAAGCTGGTTGAGAGAATGCCAAGAGTGTGCAAAGCTGTCATCAAGGCAAAAGGTGGCTATTTGAAGAATCTAGAATATAAAATATATTTTGATTTGTTTAGCACTTTTTTGGTTACTACATGATTCCATATGTGTTATTTAATAGTTTTGATGTGTTCACTATTATTCTACAATGTAAAAATAAAGAAAAACCCTTGAATGAGTAGTTGTGTCCAAACTTTTGACTGGTACTGTAGTTATTTCCCCTCTTGTCCAGGTGGGAGAGGGCAATTGCGGTGGGTCTGGGATGATGGTGTTGATGTGTGTCATGACCAGCCTTTCAAAGCACTTCATAATTACAGATGTGAGTGGTACAGGGTGATAGTCATTTAGGCAGGTTACCTTGGAGCTCTTGGGAACAGGGACAATGGTGGTCAGTTTGAAACATGTTGGGATTACAGACTTGGACAAGGAGAGATTGAAAATGTCTGTGAAGACACTTGCCGGCTGGTCAGCGCATGCTTTTAGAACGCACCCTGGTATTCCGTCTGGCCCAGCGGCCTTGTGATTGTTAACCTGTTTAAACTATTTGCTCACATCGGCCATGGAGAGCTGGATCACACAGTCATCCGGAAAAACTTGGGCTTTCACGCAAGGCAGTGTTGTATTCCTCAAAGAGAGCATAAAAGGCATTTGGCTCGTTTGAGAGTTCTGCATCGCTGGGCAACTCGCTGGGCAACTCCCTTTGTCATCTGTTATCGTCTGCAAGCCCTGCCACATACGACGAGCATCTGAGCCACTGTAATAGGATTCCACCTTCCTCCTATACTGTAGGTTGGGGCAAATGCTCATTCCCTATTGCTTAGAAAACTTCTTCTGATTTGAAATATTGATTCTGTCTCAGAGTGCACCTATATTTCAAATATGATTTGTTGCTGATGCGTTAGTGCATGTCCTTTACATTCTTACCTTCATATCTGTCTGCTCTTCTCTCAGCCCTCATTCTTTGTAGTGTACAACATGGTGTCGACAGAGGTGTTGGCGGTCTTTGAGAACACTTCTGACAAACTTCTGGAGCTGTTTGAGAACTTCTGTGACCTGTTCCGGAACGCTACGCTCCACAGCGAAGCTGTTCAGTTCCCCTGCTCAGCCTCCAGCAACAACTTTGCATGGCAGGTCCAGAGAAGGTATTGTTGGTCGGGGAGGGAGGCTTACCACAGGGCTAACATGAAAAGAACTGCATACAGTGTGGCACAATCCAAAGGCTAGTAAATTGAACCAATTTAGAGAAATTAGCGCCTAAAAACAGTGTTTTGTCAAATTCTGAGAATGTCCGAATATTCCTTAAAAAAATTCTGCTAAGTGACTCAGAAATTACACCTTTTTTGTTCCATTGACAGTGTGAATTCCTACTGCTTATGCTCCCTCCTGGTCAGGTTCAAAGACACCATAGTGAATGCAAAGTACGGCGGTCACACTGAGGCGGTGAGGAGGCTGCTGGGACAGCTACCCATCAGTGCTCAGTCCTACAGCAGCAGCCCCTACCTGGATCTTTCCCTCTTCAGTTACGACGACAAGTGGGTATCTGTGATGGAGCGGCCCAAAACATGTGGAGACCACCCCATCCGGTAACATTGACTAGATAATGCAGGATTTCTAAAATGTGTTTTTCTGTCAAATAAACATGTGTGTTGTGCCCTGGTAAATATTACACTTAATCAATTTCTACCCTAAAACCGTCAATTAATAGAACAGGTGTTTATTTGCTTCAACCGCTGAGCTGCCTTGGTGTCTGTTGCAGACATCAATCATTCAGTGCGAGATAGAGATTCTCTTTGATTCCACCGGAGCAGACTGGCAAAATGAGTGAATGCATAATTACACTTTTTTGACCAGGCGTGTATTAAAGACGAGCATTCATTATTATGAGCTAAAATGTGAAACGATGCCCAGACATTATAAGAGCCCGGCACTGTGTTTTTAATAGACGTTTTATGGTAATGGTAAGCTCTCTTGTTATTGGAAGTTTTACATTAGTTTGGAAATGGAAACTACATTAACTAATACATTATGACAACTTTTGGTATATCTGTTCCTAGATACCAATTATTATTTTTTTGATACTGCGAGATTCTGGCAATTAAGCCCTTCTACTTACCCAGAGTCAGATGAACTCGTGGATACCCTTTTTGACTCTGCGAGCAGTATGAAGAAAGTTGGGTAGTTTTGCAAGCCAATGCTAACTAGCATTAGCGCAATGACTGGAAGTCTAAAGGTACGCTAGCATATGCAAAAATCTGAAAATATCTAAGATATCTTGCTTGTTACTGAAAAAAACCTAATCTACTGTGTTTGCTGCATTTTGGGGATTCTCCAATGCATATCCTAGCGTACCTGTAGACTTCCAGTCATTGCGCTAATGCTAGTTAGCTTTGCCTCGCAAAACTATCTCCAACTTAATTCATACTGCATGCAGAGACATAAAAATGGTTTCCATGATTTCATTTGACTCTGGGTAAATATAGAAATCTCACCATATCCCTTTAGACTTGCATTTCAAAAAGCTCAGACTGTGTTTTTCTTATTAACTGCAGATTTTATGCTCGGGACTCTGGATTGCTGAAGTTCAAGATCCAGGCAGGCCTGCTGGGCCGGCCCATTAACCATGCCGTCCGGCGGCTGGTGGCGTTCACATTCCACCCCTTTGAGCCGTTCGCCATCTCAGTACAGAGGACCAACGCTGAGTATGTGGTGAATTTCCACATGCGGCATGTCTGTGTATGAGAGGAAGGCAGACCTGGAGAACTGTAGAGCAAACAGCGGCCATTCTGCCTTTTCCTCTCCCCCTAGTGTGAAGAACACAATAAGACTGGACTGTGGGAGGCACCAGTTGAAGTTGAAATGGGGAGCTTGGGATGGGTTGGTATAGATTCCTTACAGGACCAAATATGTTTAGGCTTTTCCAAATCACCACATACTTTTATGTTTTTGGTCAAATTTGATTCTTATACATGTATTTGTATTTTTTGTTTTATTTGTATTTTATTTCAATAAGTGATTTAATCATTGATTGTGATTTTTTAAAGGTTATTATGAATATTTTGCTACAGTAAAAGCTATTTTCCATAATATGCTTCGCTGAGTGGACCTAGTTATTAGCCTGATTGCCCCCCTTGTATAGCCTCCCGAGTGGCGCAGTGGTCGAAGGCACTGCATCGCAGTGCTAGCTGTGCCACTAGAGATCCTGGTTCGAATCCAGGCTCTGTCGTAGCCGGCCGCGACCGGGAGACCCATGGGGCGGCGCACAATTGGCCCAGCGTCGTCCAGGGTAGGGGAGGGAATGGCCGGCAGGGGATGTTGGTAGAGCATGGCGTTTGCAACGCCAGGGTTGTGGGTTCGATTCCCACGGGGGGGGGGGGGGGGGGGCAGTATGAAAAAATAAAAAAAGATAATGTATGCACTCACTAACTGTAAGTCGCTCTGGATAAGAGCGTCTGCTAAATGACTAAAATGTAAATGTAGCTCAGGGGCCTAATTTATATAACCGTTGCGTACATTTTACACTAAATATATGCGTACGCCGTTTCTGAAAGGATTGCGCAAGTATAAAAATATATGCATGTTTCCAGTTAGCTTTGGGACACAACATCGGGAGTCTTTATATTGATTGGACTCCCTAAGTTGTGCATTGTTATGGTGGGTGGCGACAAAAATAACCCTACCACAATATAGCTGGCTTCACACAAAAAAACTACGAAATTGGATGTTCTGAGTCAATGTCAATGATTAAATCACATCTGAAGACCATTGTTTTAAGGTCTGGAAGAAAACTAACACATTTAGATTTTGTTTTTGTAATTCCACTTTTAATTGTGCATCTGGCCCTTTTAATTGCGTCTCTAGCAAGTGAGGAATGTGCTGGTCTGGCAATGGTTCTGTACTGCAGCTGCTCATTTCATGGACAAATTATCAAATAACAAATAATCGATACAAATGATATACTTACTCATGATATACTTGTGCCAGGTAAGCCTATTTTGCGGTTAACATTTCATTGATGGTTTTCGGGAAAGTATTCATGTCAACCCACAAGACGGTTATCACGTCAACTGGCCACACAGAGTGATAGACAAATACGCGCTAATGTTGTGTTGATTAGATAGTAGCTGGGAGCTTGGGGTGTCTGATACTGGTTTGATTTGATTATGACAGTTTGCAGTGAAACACTGAAATTGCATGTACTTTCACCTGTTGAAGACTCCTGTCCTAGAGATTATATATATATATGCATTTGTTGACAGGAACGTTTTTTTGGGGGGTGGTGAAATCGGCTATATTGTGGTATGGTTTTTGCCGTGGCCAACCACCAGAAAGGTGGACATTTCAGGAAGTCCAACCAATAGACTCCCGCTGTTGTGTCCCAAAGCTAGTTTCCAGATATAAATCAGAGCCCTTCCTGAAACTGCGCGCGTGAACGAGCATTAAAACTGCCTGAAAAACGCCCACCATTCACCTTTTTATTGTGACAATAACACAATTATTTGCTGTATATTTAGGAAGTAATGGAATTAGGCCAAGGCCGTTTCTAAAGGAAATAGCAGCTAACTTGATCGAATGTCTTTGGAGGAAGGCAGAATATTACACTTTTGCCGTGACATTTGCAGTAGGCCTAGGCTATCTGACAGACAAAATTCAGGAAAAAGTGTAATATTCTGAAAGTCAAAAACAATTGCAAATTGCTGTGGACCTGTAAACTGATCGTTTGAATTTAAAAGTGCCTCATGTTTGCATTTACTTTTTCTCGAACCTATATGGTGCACTGCCTGTGAATGCTGAAACATTGTGCTTGCTATACACACTTCAATGCAAAATATAAATTGTCTGTTCACCTGTTAAATTCTACTGTATGTTATAAACCAATCTTCCTTTTCTGATGCATAGAGCAAAATACTTGAAATAATAGCCTATCTAATAAGCCCAATTAAAAGAGAGCTGCATATGGTAATTGGTTGAGGCTATGGCTACTTAGGGAATATGAACCCATAGCCAGAAAGGTGAGGAATTTATTCTGCAACGGTAAATACTTGAAATAGCTTATCTATTTACTACTGTGAAGTGGGTCCAATTAAACGAGAGATGGGACGAATGGTATCTTAAGTTGTTGTAGGCATATAGGCTACCTCTTGAGTATGAAACCATGACAGAAAAGGTGAGGAATTTATTATGCAATGATCATGGAAATTAAATAAATAGATGCCTATTTCTAATTATACTGAACAAGAATATAAATGCAACATGCAAACATTTCAACGATTTTTCCTGAATTACAGTTCATATAAGGAAATCAGTAAATTGAAATAAATTCGGCCCTAATATATGGATTTCACATGACAGGGCAGGGGTGCAGCCATGGGTGCCAATCAGAATGATTTTTTCCCCCACAAAAAGGCTTTATTACAGACAGAAATGCTCCTCACTTTCATCAGCTGTCAGGGTGGCTGGTCTCAGACGATCCCGCAGGTGAAGAAGCCAGATGTGGAGGTCCAGGGCTGGCGTTGTTACACGTGGTCTGCGGTTGTGAGGCCGGTTGGACATACTGCCAAATTCTCTAAAATGACGGTAGAGGCGGCTTATAGTAGAGAAATGAACATTAAATTCTTTGGCAACAGCTCTGGTGGACATTCCTGCAGTCAGCATGCCAATTGCATTTTTTATTTAGAAATTTAGAAAATACAGCTTCCTTGTTAACCCTATCACCACGGACAAAAAGTCTACATTTCTTTAAATATTTTAATCATTTAGCAGACACTTATCCAGAGTGACTTACAATTAGTGCATTCATTTAAAAATAGCTAGGTGAGACAACCACATATCTCTGTTATAGTAAGTGCATTTTTCAGTGAAGAGGTAGGGTTTTGATGTTTTCAGAAGATGCAGGGACTCTGCTGTCCTAACGTCAGTGGAAGCTCGTTCCACCATTGGGGTTCCAGGACAGAGAAGAGTCAAGTATGAATACTTTTAAGTGGAGGGTACTACTGTAGTGCACTCATAGCTGTAGCCATATTTTGAATACATTTAATATGTTATTTACACTTCAGCAGATGGTATTACCAAGAACAAATTCAATTTGAAGGTACAGTGTTTGTGCTGCTTTATCTCAGGTTGCTGTTGGCACCATTGGGAGTGTACAACCATGCTAGTAATTTCCCCAAGGTGTATGAATTTGACCTAACATATCTTGCTCGTTAATGAAAAAGAAAAAAATAACATCTCTTATGAGGTGGCTGCATTCTTGGCATTCTCCATTCTTGGGATTCTCTGCCTGTAGGAAATGTGGAGTGAACAGTCTTGGCTGAAAAGTGAAATGTGAAGTGTGAACCGACTGTACCTTTCTGTGGGGGTGTGACTGGGAGGATGTCTGTGTACATGTACACTACATGATCAAAAGTATGTGGATTCTGCTATTTTAGCCACACCTGTTGCTGACAGGTGTATACAATCGAGCACATAGCCATGCAATCTCCATAGACAAACGTTGGCAGTAGAATGGCCCGTACTGAAGAGCTCAGTGACTTTCAACGTGGCACCGTCATAGGATGCCACCTTTCCAACAAGTCAGTTCGTAAAGTGTCTGCCCTGCTAGAGCTGCCGCGGTCAACTGTAAGTGCTGTTATTGTGAATTGCCAACGTCTAGGAGCAACAACGGCTCAGCCGCAAAGTGGTAGGCCACACAAGCTCACAGAACGGGACCGCCGAGTGCTGAAGCGCGTAAAAATAGTCTGTCTTCGGTTGCAACACTCACTACCGAGTTCCAAACTGCCTCTGGAAGCAACGTCAGTCAGAACTGTTTGTCGGGAGCTTCATGAAATGGGTTTCCATGGCCGAGCAGCCACACACAAGCCTAAGATCACCATGAGCAATGCCAAGTGTAGGCTGGAGTGGTGTAAAGCTCGCCGCCATTGGACTCTGGAGCAGTGGAAATGCGTTCTCTGGAGTGATGAATCACGCTTCACCCTCTGGCAGTCCGACGGACGATTCTGGGTTTGGCGGATGTAAGGAGAACGCTACCTGCACGAATGCAAGTACCAACTGTAAAGCTTGGTGCAGGAGGAATAATGGTCTGGGGCTGTTTTTCATGCTATAGCATACAATGATGTTCTAGATGATTCTGTATTTACAACTTTGTGGCAACAGTTTGGGGAAGGCCCTTTCCTGTTTCCGCATGACAATGCCCCGTGCACAAAGCGAGGTCCATACAGAAGCGGTTTGTCGAGATCAGTGTGGAAGAACTTGACTGGCCTGCACAGAGCCCTGACCTCAACCCCATTGAACACCTTTGGGATGAATTGGAACGCCGACTGCGAGCCAGGCCTAATCGCCCCAACATCAGTGTCCGACCTCGCTAATGCTCTTGTGGCTGAAAGGAAGCAAGTCCCTGCAGCAATGTTCCAACATCTAGTGGAAAGCCTTCCCAGAAGAGTGGAGGCTGTTATAGCAGCATAGGGGGGCAGTGGCGGCTCCTGAAAAAATTCTCAGGAGGGGCAATTTTTCTGATGATTTAGGTGACCTACACACATTTTAAAAAAGATATGTCCAGCAACAACATGAAGACAGGGGCAGCATATAAGTCAATACCAGAAGCATTTATTGACTGATCTGGGGAGATGGATTCCAGTTTCTGTGACAGATTATAAATAATCTCTGATGCCTTTGTTATATTAGCTTTTGGTTGAATGTACTGTCGTAGTAAATATATAATGTTATAGCTTGGTCTGACTAAAATCTTGTGCATGACCCATTTTGTGTTGGGCGTTTGTTTTCAATCAATGCTGTTCCTATCCTATAACAATGGACAAAAGAGTCCTATCTTGTCAGCCTTGTCAGCAGGTGGCCAAGGACAACACCCACGCCATAGGTCTCTCAGTTCTTCCAACTCACGAGTTCTTGCTCTGAGGACACACACACACACACACACACATCATCACTGATAACACACACACACACACACATCATCACTGTTAAACACACACACACACACACATCATCACTGTTAAACACACACACACACACACACACACAAATCCCCTCTCTTTAGGCTGAACATTTGAAGACAGAGAACCCGACTCAGAGCCAATGCAACAGTGGAGGGGACCTCGCCCAACTCATCAGGACCAATCAGAAGATCAGAACTACTAGATTCAA